GGTCGACCATAGCTCCCGTCGAGCTACCCCCTGGTCGACGGCCCACTCGTCGCCCAGCCCAGTCAGCTGCAGATGTCGAGCTCCCTGGTCGATAGCAACACCACAGCGGTTCCCTGCAGCTCGACGAAGCCTGTTGAGCAGCTCTCCCACTGTGAACGGCTGGCTGCTTCACCCGTACATCCGACCAAGTCGCCGGCGTTGCCCAAGCGAGGGCGGGGCCAACACTTCACTCCCGTTAACAACTGCTCTACTACTTGGTTCAACCGTTCAGTTTGGCCGTCTGTCTGTGGGTGGTTTGTCGAAGACATGGCAAGCTCAGGACCTCTGTCGCAGACGAGTGTCAGAGGAATGCTGTTTGTGATGACGATGCAGTCAAAGAAAGGCCGAACGGTGACCTTAGTCGCAGCAGTGGCATTGGTGGGAATGAAGTGTTCCATATTTGAGAACCTATCAATCACCACAAGGACAGCGTCGTGTCCAAGTGTGGTCAATGATAGTTCATTGATAAAATCCATGCTTACAACTTGACACGGCTGCTTTGGTATGGGTTACGGTCGAAGTGTTCTCGTCTTCTTTTGCTTGCTTCTCTTCGTCTGCAAGGAGGTGTCGCATGAAGTGACAAACCGCTGCACATCCACTACCATCCGAAAGGGTTTTATGGCTTCCAAAATGTCCTGTGTAAGCTACGTCATGGAAATCCTCATAGGATTTGACTAAGCGAGGCATAGTTAAGAACCGATATTTTCCCTGAGCCTTTTTGTACGAGATCTTTCTCCAACTGTAGCAAATTCTACTTCTCCGCAAGTCCAATTTCATGGTCCACAGAGCACCCGTCCATGAATAACCCTTTGCGCCAAGGATTCATCCCTTCAATTTTAATCCTTGCAATGTGACAGGGTCGGCAAAGAGCATCTGCCTTGTTGTTGAGTCCCGCCTTATTGACAATGTCATAGTGGAAGTGGGTCTCAAGTGAGTCCATCCATCGAACCTGCCTTCTGGAAGGTGTTAGCTGTGACTTCATGTATTTTTTGTAGCAGTCTTCTGTGTAGAAAATCGTTTTTTCTCCTTCGAGATAACACTTGCACACTTTGGAGGGTGTGACGAACGCCAAAACCTTGAGAAAATGCCTTTCTGACACACTTCGAGATAAAACTTTTTTTTTTTTTATTTCGTCCATGCTACTGCTAAATATGAGTATGATATCGACATACACCAGGAAAGAACCAAGCTCTTGTCGCAGAGGCTTGGCCTGAACCCCATCCCACTAGGGCGGTGGATAACTTCTCGTACTAGAACCATGGTCCTTGCTTTAAGCCATCGATAGCCTTGTTCAACTTGCACACCCTCCCTGTACCATCATCTTGCCTGGGTGGCTGTCCCATATAGACCTCTTCCTCTATTAATCTGTAGAGAAAGGCCGTGGTCACATCCATTTGCACTATGTACCACCTGCTCACAGCTGCATCAGCGAGAAGGACCCTCAGAGTGGGTGAATTTGCTGTAGGAGCGAATACATCTATGAAGTCCCCCCCTTCCTTCTGTTTAAAACCTTTAGCCACCAATCTGCTCTTGTATAGAGTAATTTCACATTTCTCATCCATCTTGATTCTCACCACCTACTTGCATTGAAGCTCTTTCTTTCCTTCCATTTGAGTCACGAGTTCCCACGTACTGTGAGAGGATGCTGCTGCACGTTGTTATCTTGTTCTAGAGTTTCCTACTAATTTGAATTCTTGTTAGGTTCATAATTTTTGTCCCCTCCTCCTTGGTCTCCTCCGGATCTGCTTGAGATGGCTCATGTTGATCAAGGTTGAGCGGGAGTGACATCTCCTACAGTTGATGTGTGGTCCTCTCCTCCAATTGAGTTTCCAACGCGGTTGTTGGCCACTCTTGGTTCCGCCTCTTATGACACCTCCTCTGAGCTTCAATCCTCGGATGCCATATATTCCTCCTCAGTCCCTTCGACGGCAGCAGACATTGGGCTGTGAGCCTGTCTTCCAGCTGACACTTTCTGCCTCTTGTTTCCTTCTAGCCAAGTTCCAAATCTCTCCTTTTTTTCTCAGTACTCCACCAACACATCCCCCTTGGCTCCGCCCATTGCGTGAATCTCCTCCTCAACCTTCCCTCTGCGCTCATGCCCCTGCGTTTGGCGGCGCACGTCCCGGTGCCTGAGGGTCGGGGTGGCCCTACAGTATCCTCTAACCACTCGTGCCGAGCCATCTTGGCTAATTGACCTGACTGGGCACTGTCACTTCTTCATCGTCTGCTTCCTCCTTGATACCCTGTGGCTGTAGTTCCACTCCCACGTCTGGTCCACTCATAATGATGACGGCTCGCGCCAAAGATGGGCAAGGGTTGGAACTCCCCACGTCATGAGGTTGTGCAAAGCGGCTCTGCCAAAGCCATTTTTACAGAGGGCCATGGCGATCAGTCGCAGGCGCCGCTTCAGCCGCTTCCGCAACTGCCTCAACTGCCATCTTCGCTGCAGTCGCTGCAGCCTGAATCAGCATCCCTCGTGCCTTATTCTCAACTCTTGCCTGCGCACCCTTCTATCGCCCCAGCGCAGTAGCCCGAGAAGCTCCCGTGACGTTCGCCATGGCTGCGAAGGAGTCTCCACTTGACCTTGTGCTCGCGATCGTGTCAGTGCTCCGTTAGATTCACCAGTGGATGTGTTTGCTGGGTGCGTATAGTAGGCTTTGCCCCAGTGATCTTCAGCAGTGCTTTCTCCTTCCCTATTCTCAGAGAACTTACCGAGGCCTCTCACTCTTTCTCATTGGTCTCTCACTCCTCCTCAATCTCCCTTCTCTCCAGAATTCCTCAAACTCCCTTCTCTCCACCATTCCTCCACGCTCACTCTTCTCTACCTCTTCCTCTCCCACAGTTATCCTCTTCACTCCCCCCATCCCATCCCTCCTCATAGCACTACTCTTCCCTCTCCTCTCTCTCATCCTTCAAGCTCTCCCCCACAACCGAACTGCAAACGCCAACACCACAACTAATTTCGCCCTCGCATGCTCCCATGACACAGTTCCCAAAATTCATGCAAACGCATCCTTGCTACTGGCAGTTTTGCTGCCTGCACGGCCACTAGGGTTACAGCTAGCAGGGCTGCTGCTGATGCAAAGTAGGCAGTCGTAAAGAGCTCACCAGTATTATCACAGCCTCTACTATCACTCCTTTCACGTTTGCGCATGTATTGGATGAAATACAATGGAGTGTATTGCACTTGCCTCTCCTCCCATGCGTGTCATTTTACATCCCCGGCCCTCCAAAACCCCTCCTAGCTCGCCCCAAACCCTCTTGACTTCCCCCGTCCTTATCTCACACCTCCAAACACTCCATTCCAACTTGCCTCATACCCTCATTCCCCTCCCTCCCCCACTCTCACAGCACCACCAGGTGCACACACAGCTGGTGGCGCTCATCTACTCAAGACATTTCTACTGATTTGTCGCCACCCGACCCGCATTGACCCACCCCGTCGTGCCTCGCACCACCAATCCTGCCTCGCCCCACACCCTCATGCCCTGCGACAACATACTCTTTCTATTCCCAACCCTTCCACCCTCTACCCCTTTCCTCCTCCCCACTCATGCCACCACCAGGTGTGCACGGGGCTGTTGCCCACAAGGATCTGCGCATCTCTGCTGCAGCACTTCACTCCACCAGCCCTGGGGAGCTTGTAACCTTGTTCACCTGCCTCACACCCACCTTTAGCAGCGAACCACTTTTGCCACTCTAGCAGTATGCCATTCTCCACCATGCGGCATGTCTCTCGCATGCAAAAACTCTCTTTCTTTGCTCTTAAGATCCCCGTACGCCACTGTACCCATCAAAGCTGCATATGTGGGCAGAACTTGCCGCTTGCCTGAGGTGATAGAGAGCAGGGGGGTTGGTGGTGAGGTACCTCTTGGAGTTGCTCTTCATGCTGGGAATTCTAACCTGCTTGATCTAAGTAGGTAACTAAATGGGATGTTTGCCTGCACAGGCTGCAAAAGGACAACACTAACCATGGTACTGTATGGAATATTTCGAGTGCATGAAGGTTAGTGATCAGGTCGTGACAATTCCGGTCTCTCCTCTCCCTAGTGTCACAAGAACTAGTGGTATTCTCCTGCAATATCTGGTACAGCCTTACTCTCCACAGTGCCGTGTCAGGGGAGCACGGGAGTTAGAGTGGGGCGCAAGTTGAGGGGAAGGGAAATGGAGGAGGGATGTGAGGGGGTGTGGAGTTGTGGAAGTTCTGAAGCAAGTATGCTGTGAGGGCATTGCCATATCAGCTCGATCTGAGCTGAGGGAAGGTACTAGAGTGTGGTTTGAGGCAGCTGCAGTGCCTTGCATGCTCTCACATGTGCTTGTGTTGAACAAAGTTACACCGAATGTGAGCACTTCAATGGACACTGTGGTGCCACCTGCACTTCATGGTGGACTGCCACAGGGTAATGCTGCTAGAGGACGGAGAGGTGCTGGAGCGTGATTCGATAGTGGCTTGCTGGAAGAGAGGCCGTCAAGGTTCTTGGCATATGCGGATCCAATTATGTTAAGAGAAGTTGTTGCTCTGCGCCAAATTGCATTGGCAACGTCAGTGGTGGCTAATGACACATGAAGGACGAGGAGAGAGTGATCCGAAAGGAAGTTTGAGTGGCTGATGAGCAATAAACTTGTGAGGTGGAAAACCACTTATTGATGAGTGCAGATCTTAAAGTAAAAATCAAACGCCTTTTATATTCAGAAGCATAGGAATAACATGTGGAGCCCAATCCACAAACAAAAAACAACTTATTTTGGTTGTGTTCATTCAAAACTCTAGGGATATGAGAGTTCAACATTTCAAATCACCTGAAAACCTCAAAAATTTTTGCATGCCACTATAGCCATTATAGCTGTACAATTCAGAATTATTTCATCTATGCATAAATGACCAGATGAAAAGGTGATAGCAGTTTCTAAAACTACCCCAAATATATGGTAGACACTGAAGCACCATGTCACAATCCCTGTTACATAAAGTCGCTTCCGTCGCTGTTCTCGTGTTCGCCCCTGCGCCACGCAGCGGCGAACATGCAATCCGCAGAGCGAATATCCGAGGTGATGTAGTCCTCCGTGCGCCCATCCGGGAATCCCCTGCCGCTCTCGCTCTCCACCTCCACCGGCTCGCGCAGCAGGCGGGTCAGCAGGCGGTACCGCAGCGAGCGCACCTTGCGGGATTCCTCGGCTCGGAAGGTCTGACCCAGCACGCCGTGAATGCCATTCGTGTGCTGCAGAGGGGAGGATGGAAGAGGGGGCAAGAGGGTGGGGAGAGGAGGGAGATGGTTGAATAAAAGATGATGGCCTGAGACAACGGGCCAAAGGTTACTAAAGCCATTGATGGTTATCGTGGCAGCACGTGGCCGAGTGCAGCACAGTAAAACAAAGAAACAAACAAGGAAAATCAAAACAAATCAAAACGAAACAAAACAAATAATCATTGCTCACATTGAGCCGGGCGATGTACACATTGAAATGTGCCTGGGCCTCCGTAGCCGTCTGCATGAGCGGATGTGCCAAACGTGCCGTGATGCCCATCTCCACCACACCGTCGATCGTGAGATGAAATTCGTCCTCATCCTTCCCCTTGAAGCTCCGTGTTTCCGCCAAAAGCAGCTTGAACCCGCCGCTGGCAGCGATGAAAGAGCCTGTGGACAGAGGCGGGGACACTGGCGAGCCATCGAGCTCCAATCGGTCGATGAACCCGCTGCTGCCCCTCCCTTGCTCCTTGCCATCTCGAGCCTAAAAAAATGCCGAATGTTGCACGCCAGTCGAATCGCGCCAGATCACGTGGAGCTCCCTGGCAGGCACAAAAAACGAAGGGGAGTGCAGAACATGGGGCTCGTAATGACTTCAAACCACAAGGGAAAACCGCTGCTAAACACCGCACAGTTAACACATGTAGCGAAAAAAACACTGGATTACAGCAAGCACAGCGTAACACTACCTGATCCAGATGCGAATCGGCTTCGCTCGAAGAAGCCTCGCCTTCAGCTCGTGCTTAGCATACTGAATCGAATGCTGTTCCTCTTCCCATCCACTCTTGCTGCTGCGACGACCCATCTCCCGCTCAAGCGCTGCCACCACCACATCAGTCAACAGCAGGCTCCCATTGGCCCGCATTCTCTCCAGCTCGCCCAGTTCCTCCACGCTCAGCCTCTCCTGCTCAAGCTGCCTGATATGACGTGGCTTCTTCTCTTTGGAAGCTGCTTCCAGCGCTGCAGCGAGCGACTCTTCATCCAATGATGTCGCCGTGCCGGGGAGATTCGCGATGGGCTGGTAACCCTTGATTCCCATGTTGATGTGGATTCGACGATCGGAAAGCAAGCAGAAGGAGCGGTCGAGAAGGCCATTGAAGTCGTAGCGGGTGCCGTCTGCGCCCCGGAAATGCGGATCGTCATCCGTGAAGGCACGGGGGTCGCACCGTCCGCCCAGGAACGTTGGTGAAATGTTCAGGTCCCAGTTCGTCACGGTGACGCCTGCCAATGAGCTCAGCATCGTGCATTGGGCACTACTAGGGGTCATGGGGAGGGGATAAGAGAGTTAGCCGCATGAGAGGAGGGGGGAAGTGAGACGGTTATAAGTTAGTTTTGAGAGGGAAAACGAAGGCGTTGACGAGTTACATGGTGAAAGGATGGAAAATCGGGTGGGAAACAGCGGTTGACTCGGCCAAGAATGAGCAAGAACGTGATATGAACGGACATTGTGGTGATGTGCAAATATAAAGCTTGATGCGTGGGGATACTCCAACCTCGCGGCTGCAATTTGGAGCCACACTTTTTTCACTAAGTCAGTGGCAATGCTTACGGCTGGCCGTTCATTGGGGGTTTCAGGTGCCAGAACACGCAGCCAACCTGCTCGGCACAGCGGTGGCAGCATTCCAATGTTGCTGGAGTTTCCGGCTGCCACGAATAGAGGGGAATTTACAGCGCCAAGTTTTAACAGAAGCTGCGCATAGAAGAAGCAGTGATGCGCCGAGCGGTTGCTCAAAGTCATGGAAGAATCCGCAACATTGCGAAATTCAGTAGGAATGCAATACGAGACGGCGGATCCTAGTGGTAGGTTCAAAATTACCCAGGATGTAGGCGTGGAAGATACGACAGTATCGTCCGGAAGGTCCAGAATGTAGCGCTCATAGTTGTAGTTCCCGTGCATGAATAGAGGTCCCGACGCCCTCGTGTCCTGTGGATAGGCAATATAGTACCCCATTAAAAGCCTCCTGCATTTCTTGTGACATCCGTGGGGTTGTGTCAAGGGGCCGTGCGGTGCGCCCTGGTCAGGAACTGGTGCTTCAGTCTGAGGCGCTCCCAGAAGTACCACGGCGAACAAAACTAGTAACCACGATGATGCCGCTCCCGCGGCATTTTTGCCGCCACTGGAAGTGCCACGAAGATTTTTGCCGACGCGTCTTTCCATGTTGATTTGAAGGTCTGAAAGAATGTTGAGTTACCTTACGGAGCTGTCTAAGGATGGCAGTACTTCTACTAGAGATGTGAACGACTGCCAGCAACAAGGGTTGGCCTTTGTGAGGTGTGTATGAGGGCGGCTCAGAGTTTTCCGTTCTGAAATCGCAACTGTTCGGACACAGTAAGGTTCGACCCAAATGCGTTCATAATTCTCGGGGCACCACACGGATATGCCGTCCTGCCCAAACAAAACCAATCTCCGCGACACATTACAGTATTTTGCGAGATCTCGGTAAGCTTCGTAGAGGGTAACCAGATCCTAAACGACAACTTTGATTCTTGACTACTCTTGCGAATTTTGCTGTTACAGAATAGGCGACAAACTTACATTTCCTTCGAAAACAACGCGATCCACAAACGGGATGCGGCATGCGCCACTGTGTACATTTCAAACGCGTCATTTGACGTGGACAACCCAATAAAATATGGTTACCGTGACAAATAGGACCTGAGCTATCACGAGTTGGACCCGCCCTGAATTCGAATCAAGAAAGCAAGATGGTCGGGAATCAAGGCACCACACTTTTCCGAGTCCAGTCGAAATTGTCAAGCGAAGCCACGTCAGCTTGGTTTAGCTTGACTTCACTGTTGATGACAAAAAGTCACGCAAGTTCCTCGATGGTGGGACCAGCCAAGGAATTGACTGGGCACTAGGCTGGAGCGCTCTCTTTTCGTTTTAGGGCACTCTTCCAAATCAGGGTAGTGGCAGGGTATTTTTCGCCAAACTTGATCTGTGGCAGGGTGATTTTTCCGAGGACTCTGTTTTGCCACAAGTGCTGTGACTGGCAGGGCACGCTCTACAGTCTCTGCGAGTCTCAGCACTTTGTTTATTTAACAGCAGAGTTGGGATTGCCAAAACACCCCCATCCCCACACTGCTCCACATCTGTCTCTGGGAGCCGCGGTACTTAGTTATTGTTTGTACTTAGTGAATCTGTTAACGGGAGTGGAGTGTTGGCCCCGCCCTCGCTTGGGCAACGCCGACGACTTGGTCGGATGTACGGGAGTAGCAGCCGACCGTTCACAGTGGGAGAGCTACTCGACAGGCTTGGTCGAGCTGCAGGTGACCGCTGTGGTGTTGCTGTCGACCAGGGAGCTCGACAGCTGCAACTGACTGGTTTGGGCGACGGGTGGGCCGTCGACCAGGAGGGGCAGTTCGACCGGGAGGTCGCGTAGCAGCCCGTCGACCTGACAACTGAGCAGCGGTCGACGAGGGGAGCTCGGCGACATCATCTGTCAGTTCTGGTCAACGGAAGGGGTCCGTCGACCAGGGGGTAGCTCGACGGGAGCTGTGGTCGACCAGAGGGACCTGGTGGTCGACTAGGGGGACCTGGTGGTCGACCAGAGGGACCCAGTGGTCGACCAGAGGCACTGGTGGTCGACCGGAGCACTTGGTGGTCGACCAGGTCTGTGAGGATCTAGGATCGAGCTCAGAAAAGTGGGTTTGAATTGAATGATTCACCTGGGTACAAGACGAGGCTATATATAGGCTCGACACAAGGCAGGTAACCCAGGTGTTACGCGAATGTTCTGAGGGTCGCGAAGCGTCCCGAACAGAACCTTCCCGAACTCAGTAGAAAGCAATTCGGTGGAAACCGAATAGGCTTGAGTTCGGTACACGTAACCTGGTTCGGTGCTCTAACTATAATAACATATAGGAATGCACCTAACCTAGGAAATCAAGCATATCTATGCATGATACAATAAACCCAAGCTAGAAATAGCATAATAATGTCTAGGCAAGCTAGCAAAGCCAGCATAAGCCGTCGTATTCTCACACGTCCCCCCCTCAAAGCTGGGTGGAGTGAGAAACACCCTGCTTGACAAGATAGTCCTTGAGAGCACGGCGTGCGTTGCCCATATCAGCTTCTGCAACCCAACTGTCCTCTGTGGGGTCATAACCCTTCCAGCGTATCAGGAACTCGAGGGTCTTGCCGCCGCGGCGCCGATGAGTGAGAACGCACTCCACTGCGTACTCTGGTTCATCTTGTATGAGAACAGGTGGTGGTGGCGATAGCTGCCGTCCCTGGAACTGTTGGTTGGGGTCCTTGTAGGGCTTCAGTAGCTGAACATGGAAAGCATTGTGAAGCTTCCACGTAGTAGGTAAGCGCAAGCGGAATGTTACTGGTGTCACCTGTGCCTCAACGAGAAAAGGACCACAGAAGCGAGGCCGGAGCTTGGATGGTAGGTGAGACAGGTTCAAGTTGCGCGTGTCAAGAAGCACCTGATCTCCGACTGCTACTGAGTGATCTCGTCGCTGGCGATCGGCATACTGCTTCTGGGAGGTCTGCATCGTGGTGAGTCGTCGCTGAGTCTTCTCCCATAGCTGCTGCATGGTGGTGACGAAGTCGTGTGCGGCTTGGACGTGTGCCGGTGTGGTTGGCTGCTGTGGTGTAAGTGGTTCCTGTCCGTAACACAGGAAGAAAGGAGTTTTCCCTGTGGCCGCATGTGATGCGTTGTTGTAAGCGAACTCTAGGGTCGGTAACTGTGTGTCCCAGTGGCTGACGTCGTCCTTGCAAGCTGTGCGCAGTAACTGTTCAACCACTTGATTGAGTCACTCTGTCTGTCCGTCAGTCTGTGGGTGGTATGCTGAGGACATCGCAAGTTTGGTCCCCAATAATCCCATGAGTTCCTTCCAGAACTTACTCGTGAATTTGGGGTCTCTGTCTGAGATGAGTGTAGCGGGGATGCCGTGGATGGTGATGATGCGGTCGAAGAAGAGGCGAGCAGTTTCTTCAGCTGTAGCCGTGGTATTGGTCGTGTTATAGTCACAATAGGCTTGAATGTGCCTAAAACGAAAGATAGAGAGCACAGACGGATTTCTGCACAGCGGCTTCAAACGTTGATAGCGTTCTGCTCACAGCTGCAAATGACTTGATTCAAATTGGATCTGGAGCGTCTTCACGTCGTCTACAATTAGCAATTTAGATTGCACGATTTGATAAAGAATTGACGACACAGCGTTGGTTTGAACGAACGGTACTATGGCAGCCACTATAGTCTTAGAACACAAGATAGGAAGAGTTACGAGTTGGGAATGACTCCCAGCTCCTACAAACCCCAAGAGCCGAGGTACAGTGATGTGGAACAGTGCCACACTGTCCCCAACCACGAAGGGTCTCGAAACTGTTATAGTCACAATAGGCTTGAATGTGCCTAAAACGAAAGATAGAGAGCACAGACGGATTTCTGCACAGCGGCTTCAAACGTTGATAGCGTTCTGCTCACAGCTGCAAATTACTTGATTCAAATTGGATCTGGAGCGTCTTCACGTCGTCTACAATTAGCAATTTAGATTGCACGATTTGATAAAGAATTGACGACACAGCGTCAGTTTGAACGAACGGTACTATGGCAGCCACTATAGTCTTAGAACACAAGATAGGAAGAGTTACGAGTTGGGAATGACTCCCAGCTCCTACAAACCCCAAGAGCCGAGGTACAGTGATGTGGAACAGTGCCACACTGTCCCCAACCACGAAGGGTCTCGAAACTACCCTTCACTAGGGCCTACACCAAGTGAAATGTTACACTACACAAAGTAATGTAACTATCTTCAATATCTTGAGGTGTACCCTTTTGGCAAGCTTCGAAATCACTTGAGGCTTGACACCAAGGCTCGGGCTCTTCATCACAAACTCATCCTTGAGTTCTTGATGGGTCTGCTGCACACACCTGCGACACGCCGAACGTTCGACACAGGACAAAATCGAAACCGCGCACGACAAAATAGAAACCGCGCGCGAGACACAAACGACCGCGTAACACGCGTCTAGCGATAACTCGCTATTGACTCGACACACACACTCGACATCATGACTCAACATTCACACACAATTATAAGCATGAAATATATATTATCCCATGCCCTCATACCATTCCATACACACACACATTCACGCACACGGACAACAAGCCGAGTGCAAACCGTAGGGTTGCACCAACAAACTCCCCCTCGGATTGTTGGCCTTAGGATATGTTGCTCTCTCAGTTCAGAGCCATCCCAGCCAGCTTGCAACACTTCCAATGCTGC